TTAATGCCTGCCACACTTGGTGGTTGATGGGAGTCACATCACAGAACATCTAATGTCTCTGTTCTAATTCATTTCAAAAAGTTAACCAATTTTTTTTTTTTTTTTTAAATTATAAAGATCGAATTCAATTTAATAGTTTATTTTTTTAGACAAACAATAATATTTATTACTACGTCATCGTCTCGTAAACAAACATTTAATAATGTGTGCAGAGCATGGCTTATTAGAGAGAACATTTGTCACTGATTTAATCATAGATAAAACTCTACGAACCATATATTTCATTCATGACAAAATTATGATAAAGTTATATAAATGTCTTATAATAATAGGCAAATTTATGGCTCCCACCAAAATTTAGAAGATTATGATTGGAAATTTGCATTTTGTGTTAAGAACTTCGAGAAGATTTTTTGCGTGCAGTAGTGTCTACTATTTTGCTTCTCGTTTTGTTTTACAATATTTTTTCTATATTTCTAAAATATTTTATAAATACAAGAGTTCGCGTACTTTTCGTTGATATAGTATTTTCTATGGACGTAAAATTTTGAAAATATTGAATTGTTGCCCACTTTATTTATTTTAGCCTCGATAAGAGATCCTCGATTTAATTTAGAAGGCACTAAAGCTATTAAAAATGAAATTTCAGAGAACTTGACTTGGGAAGTACTTATGTCCCTAAAAGTTTTTCATGTCATTCTTATTCTCTAACTTTTCGTTAGTTATAATATTTTATATTTGATAACAATTTTATTTCCAAAAGTTCGTAGAAATGACGTAAAACAATTTATTTTCTCATCATATTTTGAAAAAAAATAGTAAATAAAAAGTGCGAAAAATAATTTTTCCTCATTTGAAAACATGAAAACAAAATATTTTGATATAAATCATCACAAGGACGAGACATACTAAATAATGAAATGTTGAAGATAAGAATTCGACAAAAAAATAGTGAAGAAAATAATTGCTACAATGAGCAAAGATTAAGGGGCTTCACTATAATTGAAATGTGGTGTATCAAGTAAAAATTGTCGTGGTAATATAACCATCCATATTTTTATGGTTATGCAATCAAATTAATAGAAAAAATAATACTAAAAAGAGATGAAACATCGTGAATATTATTTTGGCTATCATTTTTATATTTACCAAGAGTGAATAATATTGACATAGATATGGACATGTAAAATGTGACTTACTATTGATTGGGTGGACTCTAAAGAAAAAATATAGAATTCTCATTTCTCTTTGAAGGAGCGTAATTTTTAAAAATGGTCATCTTTTTCAAATTTTTGAATTTATTTTCACATAATAATAGAAAAATTAATTTAAAAAATTGTAAAATTTTAACTCTTTTCATTAAATTCCATGATATTCATTTACTGTGGGTTGATTTTATATTATAATGTTGCTACTTGCTTAATCAATTGCATTTTTATTACACTTACGTTTTAATACCTTCATTTTATTTTTTTTGCTAATATTTAGATTCATGTTCCTCAATTTTATTCTACTAAACAATTAGTAAGTACTTCATTTGTCATCATGTGACTAATTTTTTATTTATTTGCTAATTACAATAGATAATAATTTGTATTTAAAAAAAATATTAAATAGATGTTGCCTTGCGCCTTATTTCTACATAAATTTAATTAAACTTGAATTTTTTAAATTTGAGTCTTTAAATAAAATCCTAGATTCGCTGTGAGTAGAGTTGTATATGTGGCTCGTGGAAGACCTTTTTAAAGTTTTATGTTAGAAAATTAAAAAAACTACTTGTCGTCTATGCACCTGGACATGATCGTCCCTTTGCTGGCCCGTAAGTAGCCTGCATTGCACCACCCAAAAACCTTGTGTAAATCAAGACAATTATAATTTTCATGCGAGGGTGGAGGTTCTAGTGAACATAGATTAAGAAATTTAGCCTTGTTTTTTCTGTGATTCGAGACCACTAGGGGCGTGGTGGTAGCTGATCATGTTTCTTGTATTGGGAGGGGGGGGGGGTTTCTTGCCTGCTGTGGTGGGGTGTGGGGGGGGGGGGGGGGGGGGGGGGTTTCTTGCCTGCTGTAGCTGAAGTAATGGCACTCCAAGCTGGACTGTTGTTTGCCCTAAGACATGGTTTCATGATGGAGGTAGCTGAGTGTGAGAGGAATACCGTGGCCATCATCTAGCTGCCTTTGTATTTTTGGGGTGTATATATCAAGTGAAGCAACAAGAGTAATTGATGTGCTCCAATATTTGAAGACATCCCAAATGCTTGTATTACTTACAATTTCTTTTAATAATACCTTATCTCCAATCAATTATTGGCAAAGATTGATTGAATTGAATATATTATCAATTGAGAAAGAAATGATCTAACTAGGTAGATTATTCAAATTTAATAATGTTTTTGCCTTTAAAATTGCAAGAAGAATAGTATTTAATTGATTGTTTGGAACATTATCGATTTTATTATTTGATTATAATATACATTTTATTTGTTGTTTTATTGTTTTAAATTAACAAGTTCACTACTAACTCCAAAATACACTTAATAGATTTTACACATATACTACAATTTTGGAGCCTAATTTATGAAATTCGCCCAGGCCTCAAAAATCACGGAACCGACACTGCTCACATTCTTGTCGGGACATTGATTAATGGAATACATATTTGCTCAAAATGTATTGATTTACAACATAAGTTGTCATTCTCAAAGCCAGTTGACTCAACAACCCCAATTTTTTTGGTCTACCTATGTATCCCTAAGTCCAACTCGACATAACTCCCTCCACCCCACACCTTCATGGATTACAAATCAAGCCAGCATCATTTGACTAGTAGAAGAGGAAAAGTATTCGTAAACTACTTTCCTTCTCGTAAATAGCATGTGCTTGAAAAAATTGCACATGACCTGCTAACACCTCGAAAATGAGATTTGTCCTGAACTCGAGCAAGCACATATATGGGCTTATGCGCATCAAAAAGCAGGCTAGCCTATCATCTTGATGCAAGAGTGACAAGCAATTAATGCCTGCCACATTTGGCAGTTGATGGGAGTCACATCATAGAATATCTAACGTCTTTTAAAGTTGTTCTAGTTCATTTAAAAATGTTAAAAAAAATAAAGTTATAATGCCCCAATTCAATTTAATAGTTTATTTTTTTAGAAAAGCAATAAAATTTATTACTATATCATCGTCTCGTAAACAAGCATTTAATAATGTGTGCGGAGCATGGCTTACTAGAGAGAACATGCATTTGTCATTGATTTAATCATAGATAAAACTCTACGTTCCTTATATTTCATTCATGGCAAAATTATGATAAAGTTATATAACTGTGTTATAATGATAGGCAAATTTATTGCTCCCATCATAATTTAGAAGATTATGATTGGAAATTTGCATTTTGTGTTAAAAACTTCTTGAAGACTTTTTATGGTGCCGCAAATGCGTGCAGTAGTTTACTATACTACTTCTTGCCTTGTTTTACAATTTTTTTTACATTGCTAAAATATTTATTAAATATAAGAGTTCACCACGTTTTGTTGATGTAATATTTTCTATGAAGGAAAAATTTCGAAAATATTGGGATATGTTGCCCACTTTATTTATTTTAGCCTCGATAAAAGACCCTTGATTTAATTTAGAAGGCACTAAAACTATTAAGAAGGAAATTCCACAGAACATGACTATGGAAGTACCACTTTTACCTGTAAATGCAGAAATTCTTCTAAGTGAAATGTATAACAATCATGCTGAAAAGGAAAGTTAGTGCAATTCTACTCCCCAAAGTCAAAAGAATAGCGTAATTCTTTCACATGATTTATGGGATTCTCTAAACTCCTATAAAAGTACTCCCTTAGTTAGTAGTAGTTAATCACTACTTAGAACAGTAGGTGATGATACAAATGTTGAAATATCCTCCGAGTAATCTAAGTATTACAAAGTGCAGATGTTAATAGTACTTCAGAACCAAAAGGAATAGAGAAACTTGATTTTCTATAGTGGTGGAGGTGTAATAAACAATAATACCCAATTGTAGCAAAAATTGTACATGATCTACTAATGCCTTTGGTGTTTACAGTAGCATTCGAGATTGTGTTTATTTTAAATGGAAAGATTACAAACGATCAAGGCTAAAAGAAGATATAATAGAGGCTCTAATATACTTGAAAGACTAAGAATGTGGAGAATTACGTGTTTAAAATCAAGTTAATAGTTGAGAAGTTGCAACATATCCAAGCATAAGATCTTAATATTTTAAGTTTTAGTTTCTTGATTTAATTGCATCATTTTTTACATCATTTTAGAAAAAATAAAAAATAAATTGTACACAAAATATTTTATTTTTGTACAATTTTAAGTTCGCTGACATTAAATGTTGTCAGTCACATGCTCAAAAAAGTGAGAAGGGTTGTTACTTCCTCTTTAAACAACTTGCATAATTAAATTTTTTGATTTGTAAATTAATGACCAATTAATTTATAACAGTCAACAACATTGGAGTCTAATTTATGAAATTTGTCCCAACCCCAAAATTCCCAAGGCTGGCACTGCTTACATTCTTGCGGTCCATTGATTAATGGAATACATATTTTATTTGCCATTCTCAAAGCACGTTGACTCAACTACCCCAATTATTTTTGGACTACCTATGTATCCCTAAGTCCAAACTCGACATAACTCTCTCCAACCCACACCTTCATGGATTAAAAATCATTTGATTTGACTAGTGTGACTTTCCTTCTCGTAAATCGTATGCGCTTGAAAAAAACACTTTGTTTTATGCTCTCCTTCTCTCCTTGTCTGTACACACATCTACTGCAGCTATGATCCCAAAGAACACTTGTTATTTCATTATCTCTGTGTTGTTTTTCCTATGTTTCTATATTAACATCAATCTTTCACTAGGAGGAGAGAGCACCAAAGCAAACCAATCTCTCTCTGGAAAACAGACAATCGTGTCTTCTGGTGGGACTTTTGAACTGGGATTCTTCAAACCAGGTACTTCTTCTAGTTATTATATTGGAATTTGGTACGAAAATATTAGTCCAATGACCATAGTTTGGGTAGCAAATAGGGAGACACCCATTTCAGACATGAACTCTACATTACTAAAGATTTTAGATGAGAATTTGGTGCTTATGGTTGAGTCCCAGGTTTCAATTTGGTCCACAAATGTAAATTTGACAACCTCAAATTCTGTAGTGGCAACTCTAGATGATAATGGAAATTTAGTTTTGAGAGATGAGTCAGAACCTAGGACAAGTGAAGCACTATGGCAAAGTTTTGATAATCCAACAGATACGTTGTTGCCCAGTAGCAAGATTACCTACGACAAACACACAAAAAAAAAAGAGAAAATCCTCACTTCATGGAAAAATTCCGAGGATCCTGCGACTGGGCTTTTCTCCAATGAATTAGATCCAAATGGGAGACAATGTATTATAAGATGGAATAGGACTAAATGGTTCTGGACTAGTGGAGCTTGGAATGGGTATTTTTTCAGTTCAATCCCCAGAATGAGTCTGGACAATTTTTTTAATCATAGTTATGTTGACAACGTTAACAAGAGTTACTACACATATTCTCTTAATAACCGTTTCATTAAATCTCGATATGTGATGGATGTTACCGGGCAAATTAAGCTGACATTGTGGTATAAAGAGAAGTGGAATTTGTTATGGTTTCAACCTATGCAGCAATGTGATGTGTATGCTTATTGTGGGGCATTTGGTACCTGCAATCAGAATTCATCGAACTTCTGTTATTGTTTGCCCGGATTTAAGCAAAGGTCGGAAAATGATTGGAGTTTGAAGGATTATTCAGGTGGCAGTGTGAGAGAGATCATTTTGAACTGTACAAATGACAGAAAAGACAAGTTTCTAGCGAATAACCTTGTTATGTTACCTTCAAATTCACAAAGAGTGATGGCAGGGAGTGCTGGAGAGTGTGAATCTATCTGCTTGAGTAATTGCTCTTGTACAGCTTACTCTTACGAAGACAATGCATGCTTGGTTTGGAAAGGTGAACTAATGGATTTAAAACTACCCACAGAAAATAATGGCAGTAAAAGAACGATCAACATTAGACTTTCTGCCTCTGCATCTCAGTTTTCAAAAAATAAAAGAAGCAAATTACTTGTAATCGGTTCTGTTGCTGTTGTTTTGCCACTGTCGTGATATGCATATGTCACAAGCATAAATCTGGGACTACGAAAGCGGTTGATGGATCATCGTTGGCATTAAGGTACAAGGACGTGTTGCAAATTGAAACAAAAAAATTCTCCAGATAATTTAAAGGGTGACAACTAGAGTGGTATCAGTGTTCCTTTCTTCAGTTGGGAAAGTATAATAGCTGCTACCAAGAATTTCTCAGACATACATAAACTTGGACGTGGGGGCTTTGGTCCTGTTTACAAGGTTTAACTATTGTTCTCTCCATAATTGTTGTTACAACAAAGTTTCTTCTTCCTTATGTATTGATTCTAGCTCACAACTCTTGCAGGGAATGTTTCCTGGAGGGCAAGAAATTGCAGTGAAAAGGTTGTCAAGCTGTTCTTTGCAAGGCATTAACGTATTTCAAAATGAGTTTGTATTGATTACAAAGCTTCAACACTGAAACCTCGTTCACCGTTTGGGCTACTGTATGAAGGAGAATGAAAATACTAGATAAAAAATTATGCACGTTACTACACTGGAAGAAGCGGTTTGACATCATCTTGGGTATAGCAATAGGGGTTCTTTATCTTCATCAAGATATAAGGTTGAGGATAATTCATAGAGATTTGAAAACAAGCAACATTCTGTTAGATGAAGAGATGAACCCCAAAATTTCAGACTTCGGTTTGGAATAATTGTTGAGGGCAAAGGTACAGAGGCAAGCACCAATAAAGTCACAGAAACCTAGTAAGTGTCAACTAAAATGATATAACTAAACCGAGACTACTGAAAGCACAAAAAACTGAAACATTTCATATCTTATCCGATTGTAATGATCTTGTACGTACAATCTCCAGATTTTGGCCTAGATCAACATTTCTGTTGTTGGCTCCTCTGTGACATGTGCAATGATATCAACAATGACAAATTTCTACTAAGCTATGCATATGCATTATGTATATATACCTGATATACACATGATATTATGTCATTTATATAGACTAACTTCTAGTTACTTGATCAAGTGGTTATATGTCTTCGGAGTATGCATCGGATGGACTATTCTCTATAAAGTCAGATGTATTTAGTTTTGGAGTTGTTGTACTCGAGATAGTCACTGGAAAGAGAAACACGGGATTTTACCAGTCCTCAGAAGATTTGAATCTCTTGGGTTATGTAAGTAGATAAATTTCTCCATTTATATGCAACATTTTAGCCAATTCATAGTCTAGAATATTTTGAAGCTATTCCTGCAGGTATGGAGATTGTGGAGTAAAACAAGGTATTCGATTCGGTGGACCCAATACTGCTTGAATCTTGTGAGAAATCTGAAGTTATGAAATGCATTAGTGTTGGGCTTTTGTGTGTGGAAGAAGATCCCAATGATCGCCCCACTGTGTCAGATGTAGTCCTAATGCTCAGTGGCGAAACTATAGTTGTTCCAGTTCCCAAGAAACCAGCTTTTGTAATGAGATATCTTGTTTTCAGCATATCATCCTCATCCTCAAATAAACCGGATTCAATTTCCAATGAATTGACAATGTCTGATCCACAAGGGAGATGAGGAATTTGCTTATTTCCTTGCATTAGTATTGTTTGTTTGTATGTTCAACCAAAATTTGCACCAATTAGTTCCTTAATATTTTCAAGAAATTGGTGTATGTAGAACTATGCCGAGGAAGATAACAATCTCTTGTACACTCACTTTTACACCTCTTTTATGTTATTTTATTTTTGGGATATTGGTAATAAAAAACTAACCATTCATATACAAAAAGTCTATTATTAATGAATTAAAAAACTGCGTATATGAAAACAAACAGTTATGTAATGCCATTGCTAGAAACAATAGATTATGTTGTTCCACTGAATTTTAATTTTCCAACTACTGAATACTTGTACCGTCATCCACAGTGGTTATATCAGATATTGAATAGGATATTGATGGATCCATAGTCTTGTCCATGCTTCTACGGTGAAAATCCTACAGATATTGTTTCACTAGACATTTGGTTCAAGGTTGGCTAGTTGCAACAAGATTGCACGCTTTTAGAATTTGACTCAAATTAAATTATTCTTTTTTGCTGTGAGAAAAAGAAACCGTGAAGAGGAAAACTTTATTGCACTTAGTGTGTAGTACTTGTATTCTCTCTCGGATAGGCCAGCCCAAATTTTTACAAGTTCACTGCAAATGCTATGAGCTATTTGAGAAAGAGATTTGTTAATTTTAGATTCAGGCTTCTCGATTTTACTCTACTACACTATTCGTATGTACTTCGTTTGTCATCACGTCACTAATTTTTTATATATTTAAAGAATTACTATTGATAATAGTTACTATTTATTGAATTGTTGTTGCCTTATGCTTTATTTATATATAAATTTAAGCAAATTGATTATTATTACTATTATTTTAATACATCTTTAACAAAAATCCAAGATTCGCCTTGACTAGAGTTATATATTTGGCAGGTGGAGGAGGACTTTTTTGAAGTTTTTTGTTAGATAAGTTAAAAAACTTTCTGTCTTCTTTGTACGACGTGGACATGATCGTCCCTTTGCTGACACGCAAGTGGCCTACATTGCACCACCCGAAGACCTAATGCAAAGCAAGACAATTATAATTTTCATGCAAGGGTGGAGGATCTAGTGAATGAAGATTAAGAAACTTAGCCTTGTTTTTCTGTGATTTGAGACCATTGGGGGGGGGGGGCGGGGATGGTATCTGCTCATGTTTCTTGCACGGAAGACGGAAGGCGAGCCGCCTTCCGTTGTTGAAGCAATGGCACTCCATGCTGATCTGATGTTCGCCCAAAGACACGGTTTCATGTTGGCGGTAGCTTAGTAGTTTTGGGCCTTTTGGCTACATTGCATACTGAATTTTAGGTTGATTGTACAGCACTTTGTTGTGGCGACATTGATTAAAGGAATATTATTTTGCTCAAAATGTATTGATTCACAACATAATTTGACATTCTCCAAGCAAGTTGACTATATCACTACCTATGACCTATGTATTCATAAGTCCAACTTGCATTATGTCTTTCTACCCTAAAGGAACCTTCATGGTGTAATCATTTGACTAGTAGAACGGGAAAAGTACAAGTGCATGGCCTTTCTTCCATAAATAGCATGAGCTTGACAAAAAACACTTCTTGTTTCATACTCTCTCTCTCACATCTTCTGCAGCTATGATCCCGAAGATCACTTGTTGTTTTATTCTCTATGTTTTGTTTTTCCTATGTTTCTCTATAAACATCGATCATTCCCAAGGAGCTGACAGCATTACAGCAAATCAGCCTCTCTCTCGAAGCCAGACAATTACCTCTTCTGGTAACATCTTTGAACTAGGATTCTTCACACGAGGTCCTTCTTCCAGTTATTATATTGGAATTTGGTACAAAAATGTTTCTCCAATGCAAATAGGGAGACATCCATTTCAGATGTGAATTTTGCAGAATTCAAGATTTAGGATGGGAATTAGATGCTTTTGGAAGAGTCCCAGGTTTCAATTTGGTCCACATATGTAAACTTGACAACCTCAAATTCTTTAGTGGCAACTCTAGGTGATAATGGAAATTTAGTTTTGAGAGACGAGTCAGAACCTGGGAAAGTGAAGGATTTTGGCAAAGTTTTGATAATCCAACAGATACGTTGTTGCCTGGTAGCAGCCTTGCCTATGATAAACGTACAAAAACAAGGAAAGTTCACACTTCTTGGAAAAAACTCTGAGGAACCTGCACCCGGGCTTTTCTCTTTTGAATTAGATCCAAATGGGAGTCGGATTATTATAAGATGGAATTGGACTGATAGATATTGCACTAGTCAGAAGCGGATCTAGACTTTTTGAGTTTTGGGATAAAAAATTAATGTGTAATTTTTAAAACAATATAATATCAATGAAAATAAGTTAATACACATTTTGATATTTTGAAAATGTCTTATAATAATTATTATTATCTATATTGTAAATGAATTTTGTTATTTGTATAGTTTTGTTTACATTTTATTTATAGATGTTGATCTAAAGGCGACTAAATCAAATTGGATGTAGGAAGGAAATGAATTGAAATAAAATTCACATTCAATCTAGGAAGTAAATGAAAATTAAGTTTAATGTAAAAGTAATTTGAAAGTAACATTTAATCCATAACGATTTTAAAATTTTTGAAGTCATTTTTCATTTAAAATTCCATAATAAATGATGTAAATTATATTGAAAATTTTATTGTGCAAAAATAATATACGTTTATGAAATATTTGAATTTTTTTTTTAGTACATATGTTTGACGATTATTTAACTATTTTCAATATCCGTTTGGATCATTTGATATGATTACGATGTAGTTCTCGAAATGAGGTTTCAGATTACGCAAGTGATTTGTGGATTTAGGTAGTATACGAATTGACAAATTTTAAAAATTATCATTTCGAAATACTAATTTCGAATGGCCTAATTTGATGTGCCATAACTTTTGCTACGATTGATCATTTCGCACACTATTAAGAAGCAAAAAATTAGGCTATGAGTACTTCGAAATGATATTAAGAATACAATGTTTATACTTCATTTGGCATGTGTTAAAGTAGGTCATAAATGGGTTAAAACAAGTATTTTTACAAAAAAATGAAAATAAAATAATAATAATAATAATAATAAAATTGTGAAGTCATTTTACCCTGCATGACCCAAGGTGGGTCCGCCTCTGGGACCACTGGAGCTTGGAATGGGCTCTTTTTCAGTTTAATCCCTGAGATGAGGCTGAACAATATGTATAATCATATTTATGCTAACAAAGTTCATGAGAGTTTCTACACATATTCTCTTTATAATCCTTCCATTAAATCTCGATATGTGATGAATTTTTTCGTGCAAATTTAGCAGACATCGTGGAATGCGAAGGAGTGGAATTTGTTTTGGTTTCAACCTAGTCAGCAAAGTGATGTGTATGCTTATTGTGGGGGCATTTGGTTCCTACAATCAGGATTCATTACATTTTTGTTATGGATAAAGATACTTGGATAGGGCGATGTCTAAATAGGGCGCCTAATTGGCACTCCCTATTGGAGGGGAGACGGACAGGCCTGTCCATCCACCATAATTCGTTTGTTATTGTTTGCTCGGATTTAAGCAAAGGTAAGAGAATGATTTTGTAATAATTTGCAGCATACATAATCATAAATTTCGAGTTAAGATGTTTACTTGACATGATGAATTTCAATATCTTTTAAATGATTTGACACGACCCGTCCCGAATCACCGTAATGGACCCAGAACATGACGTGCGCCGATGATAGATGCTGACTAGATGTCAAATCTATCACCAAGGCCGACTATGAGTTACTTCAAAATATGCGCCAAAATCAAATGAAATGTAAAATATAATGAGATGGGCCCAAAATATTTACTTCGTGCTTCATCGATATGAGTTATAATATTGAACATATCGTGTGGCTCTCATT